TCTAAGATTCTGGGTTTTTTCCCTTTATGAAGCATTTTTCTAGTTGCTGTAAAGTTTTAATTAGTTTCTAGAGTTCCAGTCAAGTTTTTCTTAAATTTCTTGACAGATTATTCCCCACTTTGTGGAGGAGTGAATTTTTAAAGTTTCCTACTCTACCATTTTTGCTGTCACTCCTTTTCACTTATTAGTCAATCTGTTTAGTTTTCTTCCTTGTTCCAAGTATATTATTTCTACTGATGTATCATTAAATTTTACTGACTCTTTCCTCTATCATCCCCATTCTACCATCAAGTCCATCCAGTGAGTTGTGTATTCTACTGATTCTATTTTTTCGTGTGAAAATTTGCATTTTTTATGTCTTGAATTTATTTTCTGAGATTTTCTATTTAAACATTTGTCACAAGAGTGTATGCAACTACTTTTTTTTTAACATCTTAGTAATGTAAATTGAGCATGCCTAAACTGAAACTCTGAAACGCAAAGTGCTCTATAATCTGAAACTTCCTGAGTGCTGATGTAAGAGTCAAAGGAAATGATTTTTGGAGCATTTTGGATTTTGTTTTCAGATAAGAGATGTTCAACTAGTTAGCATAAGGCAAATATCCAAAATTTGAAAAAAATCCAAAATTTGAAACATTTCTGTTTTCAAGCATTTCAGATAAGGGATATTCAAACTGTAGTTGCTTTAAAGTCTTTATCAGAGACTTCCTACACTGGTATTACCCTCAGTACTGGCTTCTCTGAATGTTCTTTTTTTTCTTTTTTGAGACAGAGTCTCACTATGTCACCCTGGGTAGAGTGGCGTGGCGTCACAGCTCACAGCAACTTTAAACTCTTGGACTTAAGTGATTCTCTTGCCTCAGCTTCCCAAGTGGCTGGAACTATAGGTGCCTGCCACAACGCCTGGCTATTTTTTTTGTTGCTGTTGTCATTGTTATTTTTAGCAGGCATGGGGTGGGTTTGAACCCACCAGGCCCAGTGTACGTGGCTGGTGCCCTAATCGCTGAGCTATGGGCGCCAAGCCAGCTCTCTAAATGTTCTTTTGCATGCAAATCAAAATGTTCTCAGTTCTTCACATGCCAAGTAATTCTGAATTGCATTAGGAGAATTTTGAATCTTATGTTAAGAGACATTAGGTCTTATTTATATTCTATGGAGAATATTATTTTTGTTTTAGTATACAACCCACCTACTTCAGGTTGAAATTCCCACATACTATTCTCATACTGACTATAAGAACAACTATGGAAGTTGTTCTGATGTCAGCTCAGGTTTTCAGACCCTTTTGAGTGTTCTTTGGACCTTTCCTGCACTTGCACCACCTAGTGGTCACTATGGGACCTATGTGGTGTATTCATTAATTCTGTTCTCAGTTATGCTAATTAGGACCAGATCCATGCATATATTGTTCAACGGTCATCCTAGAAATTTATGAACAACTTTATTAAGTTGCTTTATCATGTTTATCTCTTTATGTGATTAAACCTATGAGTATAGCTACTCCTTTCTTTTGTGTTCTTCCATGATTGAGCCTAAATGTATACGAAATGTTTAGCAACCAGGCTTTTTTTGGTTTTTTTTTTGAGACAGAGTCTTATTTTGTCACCCTTGGTAGAGTATTGTGCTGTCACAGCTCACAGCAACCTCCAACTCCTGGGCCTAAGCGATTCTCTTGCCTCAGCCTCCTGAGTAGCTGGGACTAGAGGCGCCTGCAACAATGCCTGGCTATTTTTTTGTTGCAGTTTGGCAGGTCCAGGTTTGAACCTGCCACCCTTGGTATATGGGGCAGGCGCCCTATCCACTGAGCCACAGGCACCACACATAGGCTTTCATTCTTAAGTAAAAATCATTTCATTATTTTCTTCACTAGAAGGAACAGCAGCAGTGCCAATATTTCTTCTAATTGACAGCTAATAATAACAATAATAACAAATTATCTGAGGGGAAATATGATAGGAACTGGTAAGATTGGTGTCCCATAGCAATATATCTCAAGTCTAGCACTTAGTGATACCTGAAGAAAATGGCTCCCACTCACCCAAAGCTCCCACTCACCCAAATCCTCCTGTTGATAAGCCAATGCCACAGATGATGAACTATAACTTCACTTTTTGTTGCCTTGTTCTTCAAAATGGATGGACAGAAAATATTAAAATAAAACTAAACAGAAAAAAGCTATCAGAAGAAACAGCTGAAAAACAGCATGAAACTTAACATTTCAGTATCGTATTAATAAAATAAGAACAGGATGCTGGGAAATGGGAGTAACCAGCAAATGAAGAAAAAACTCTTAAGACACTAAAAATATAAAATGGTCATAATAAATAAATAAGTGGAAGGGCTGAATGTTAAAAATTAAGAAAATGTCTGAGAAACCATAACATAATAAATGACAGAAAATATGAGTGAAAAGAATCAACTAAAGTCAATCTAGGATCTGTAATATCTGACTGATAGGAGTTTTAGAAAGTATAAACAGAGGGTAGAATTATCAAAGATACAGAAAAGTGTGTGACAAGTCCATCCTACTAAATTATGGGGAGAGGAAGGGAGAGAGCTTCGAAAGAGGAAAGTGGTGATATATCTCCTTCTCCTCTGACTTCAAGTCCAGGAGAGAAGAGTATATTGGTTAAGTTAAGGAGAATATTGACTATGAGAACAAAGACTCCTGCCCTGATTTCCATGACCAGCATGAAACCAGTCATCCCCCCAATACTTCTCATGCCGTCTTAGGAGTTAACGTGGGGAATAAAGGGAGTAACTGAAGGAATGAAAATTTATTCCCCAAAAACTGATTTAAACTTGAAGAAACTTTAAATTATGAAATTGGACTGAATTATAAATAAGATTTTTCTCTCCCCAGAAACTGAGGAAGTTGTGTAATATTTTATCTGGAGATACAAAAGAAAACAAAAGAGATATTCCCAGAGCTGAAAAACAAATGCTATCTGAAAGAATACAGCAGTTTGAATAAGATATCTACATCCTAAATATATCATAAAAATTCCACGCCATCAAGAATAACAAGAAATTTCTTTAAAAGTTGTCAGAGAAAGAGAGAGAAAAATACCCTACAAAATAAGAGTTGGACTGGCAAAAGATTTATCATCGATAACACTGGATATTTTAAAACCTGGGAACAATGCCTTAATGTTCTGAGGGGGAAAATATCTATTTAGAATTCTTAATCTAGTAAGGTTGCTAATTAAAAATGAAAACATTTCAGACAAGTAGAACTCAGAATATGTTTAGCTCAAATCCATAGCATTCTTAGGAAATAACTAGAGGGTCTTTTCTAGCAAAATGATACACTAAACCAAGAAAGATGACATGAAATCTAGACCCTTGTGGATCTAATCCAGAAGAAAAATGAAGGAAAGTGGCAAGATGTCAGGCCTAGAGAAAATACTACATTAGGGTAGGAAGACAGAAGGTTTCAGGGAACAACTTGGTTACAACACAAAAGACAGTGTGAAAATATAAAGGCTTAGAGTAAAACTACAACTAACAGCAGGGAGCCAAAGATGCCATCTGTTATCAATTTTTTTTTGGCAGTTTTTGGCCAGGGCTGGGTTTGAACCCACCACCTCTGGCATATGAGGCCGGTGCCCTACTCCTTTGAGCCACAGGCACCACCTCTGTTATCAATTATTAACTGAATAAAGGGGCAAATTTTATTTAAGATTAGAAAAGTAACCAAGAGAAGAACTAAACAGTTAAGTAATTCCACTGGGAAGAATGGAGATCAGGCAGTGTAAGTAAACTAAATCTTGACTTACAAGAGCAAAAGAACACAATAAGAAAGAAGAAAAATAGACAATATCTAAAATTAGTAACTCAAGAAGGAGTATCATAAGTATGTTATTTAGAAACATCAAAGTAAACTGAAGAACTAAAAACAAAATTAGAAGATCCTTTTGTGGACTGAGACTATTATAAGCCCTCTATACAATTTGATATTTTATGCATGTACTAATGTGGAAAAATTTTTTAAATTATGTTTTTTGACTAGGTAACACTTCCATATGGTTCTACATTCCAAATTTTTGTAAAGGACACAATGAAGAATTCTTCACACACCCCATTCCTTCATACCCACTTCATCACTGCTAAGGTGACTAATGTGTTTCCAGATATTTCTGTGTATTTACAATCAAATATGAAGGTGTCTATTATCTATTTAATTATCTATTTCTCTTCAACACTTTTACATAAATAAAACCATACTAAATACACTGCCTTTATACCCCGCCTTGTTCACTTAATAGTATATCTTGGAGATATTTGTATATTACCACCAAACTTCCTCATTGTTTTATTTCATAGCTGCGTATCACTGAATTATACGAATGCATCATAATTTAATCAGTTTTATACTGATAAACATCTAAGTTTTCCCAATTCATTGCCATTCCAAACAATGCTATAATAATAAATTGACAGAGATTATAAGAAAAATCATATAAGACAGTGTTTGTTTGTATCTCCCAATTAGACAATGAACTTGGCTTTCAACTCTGCATCCTCAGTGCCTACCATAGTGGTTGGTATATAGTAGGTACTCAATTAAGGTTTGATAATTTAGATAGAATTGAATTTTGATGAGGGAACTGACTTATGCAGACATTTAAATGAGATATAATAATACTGAAATCAAGTTTTATTGCACAGCAAAGACAAGAATCTGTGCAAATCTATAATACCCTGTACACTCAGTCCTTGTCTTACAATTCACCAGAGAAAGGAAAAGCAGCAGTACAATTCAGGTTAGGGTAAGTATAGGAAATGTGGAGCAGGCCTGTGGTGATCTTAGCTGTCTAGACTCCCAATATCCAAGCTGCTATACAGATTCTAACTCCTCATAGAGCTGTTAATGGGTATAAGTAGATATACAGAGTTCTTAATGTCTTACCAGTGAAACAAATAAAATGAAATAAAACAATCAATTCCCTGGTAGAGATTAGCCCACCAATACATACAGATATCTCTGTCATACTTACTCTGAGCTCTTTTGGGCTTGTATGGATTGAAAGCAAGTGTAGAGTACTCGGCCAGTCTACCAAAAAAAAAAAATAACAATAAAATAATAAAGGAAAGAAAGGTCACATGAAGAAATAAGGAGAATTAACATTGAGAAAGATACAATTTAGCACACTCTAACCCAAAATTCAAAGGCCCCTGTAGAAGTAGAAAGTTAAGTGAGATTCCAAAGATGTACTATGCCACAACCCAATTTCTCGTGTACTCAGTTAACAATAAATGGCTACAACCACACATCTACTCATGTGACAGCAGGAAATTGTTAAGAAAACATGAGAACCAAAAAACTAAGAACCTAACCATTCAAATGGCTATGCTAAAAGCTGACAAACTTATTCAACAACTGTTTATCACAACAGTAAATAAATTTATGATGATAAAGCTGAAAGAATTTCAAACGAAGCATAAAATTCAAAATGCTGATGACCTGTACTATTTATGAAAAAGTGATTTTATGGAAAATATTCATTATTAACACAGATTCTGATAATACCAATAACATACTAAATGACAGGACATTCTTGGTATCCTTGGCAGAACTCACACCTATAATGCTAAATAGTAATTTCCTTTTTGTTTAACTGATACACATATAACCTCTTGACATGAACATAAAATTCAAACAGAATCCAAACATAGTATGGGAACCCAGCCATTCATATAGCTTCTTAACCTCTCTGAGGTTCAGTTTGTTCATCTACAAAATGGAGATAATTATATTCCTCTAGGCTTGTTGTCAGGGTTAGAACATATTTATGTAAAGCACCTAATAAGCACATGCCACACAATAGGTGACAAATGGTAGTAATTGTTACTATTATTAGCCATGAAAATATATGAAGCATCAGATCCCTTCTCATCACCTTTTTGCCTACTACCATGGTCAATCTCCCATTATCTCTTGTGTAGATTACTGCAGTATCTTCCTAACTGCTTTCACTGATGCCATGGATTCTACACTCCATCCCTTGTCCCCTGTTCAGACTGTTCTCAACACAGTAGCCAGAAATATCCAATTAAAACATAAAGTCACCTTCTAATGACTTCCTGACTCAGAGTCAAAGGCAAAGCCTTATAGACCTAGCCCGCTAATTAAATAGGACACTAGGGATAATAGGGTAAAAGTAAGACTGACAGTGGCAAACTGGGATATATGCTTATTGTCTTTCTCACTTTGCTGGAGTCACATCAACTTCCTTGATGTTCCCTGGACATGCCACACTCACCTTAGGGTCTTTGTACTGGCTATTGCCTCTGCCTGCAATGCTCTTCCCCCATGAAATCCACAAGACTTGCTCCCTTACTTTCTTCTGGTCCTGACTCAATGACCTTTCTTATTGAAATCTTCCCTGGCTACCCTATTAAAACTGCAAAGAGATTTTCTCTGCAAAAAGGACACACACAACACAACACATATACAAATACCTTTGTGTTTTTATCTTCTATGAAACAGGAAAAAATAAGTCCCACAAAGCCTTGATCCATCATCTGGTACATGGCTTGGGTGCGAACATCTGAAAATGAATAAAATAAAATGAATAAAAATAAAAAATCTTCTGTCAATAAGCTTGAATAGCTTGAATATTTAAAGATAATAGTGGCAAATAATCTCAGGTTCAGATTCTATAGGAAGAACACAGACATATTCTAAGGACAATGTGATTTGTCAGTATATAAACACTTTACTGTGTTAGGGTAGTACTATGGACAGTCTACAATTAAATAAAAATCTTATTTATAACTCTAGGCTGCTTAGCCCATGAATATCCCTGCTATGAAATCTAGCATAGAAAGAGAAATTGAAAACTTCAGTCCCCCACTGCCCCAAATCTGACAATTTCCTCCAGGGGAAGGCAAAGTGAAAAGCTTTGGAAGAAGAAAAGATATTTTGTATAAAAAGCCTTTTGATCGGTCCTAGGAAAGCAAGTATGTTAGACTTGCTACTAAAGAATAGTAGTACAGAAGGACTCAATTACAACTTGGACTTTACCTAACAAACATAAACAATGTAACCGAATTGTATGTACCCTTATATTAATCCAAAATTTTAAAAAAAGGTTACAAGTAGAGAATTATTATTGAAGAAACCCTTAGAGGAAACTACTATATAGAAATGATTGCAATATAATTAAATTCAACATTCTGGAGAGTAGAAAGAAAACACCACTATATGGTTGGTCAGTTTTTGAAAAGGATATAATAAACAGGCACTAAAAAAAATTTGAAATGATTAGTTAAAACGGGATAGGGATGGGCGGTGCCTGTGGCTCAAAGGAGTAGGGCGCCGGCCCCATATGCCGGTGGTGGCGAGTTCAAACCCAGCCCTGGCCAAAAACTACAAGAAAAAAAAAAATGAGATAGAGAACCTATGGCCTTCTGATTTCAAGATTGTTCTTTGTAAGCAGCAAAGAAAGCAAAAAAAGCCTTCTTAAAAAAAATGTAATATGGGCTCGGCACCTGTAGCTCAACCGGCTAAGGCGCCAGCCACGTACACCTAAGGTGGCGGGTTCGAATCCCCAGCCCGGACCCGCCAAACAACAATGACGGCTGCAACCAAAAAATAGCCAGGCGTTGTGGCGGGCGCCTGTGGTCCCAGCTACTTGGGAGGCGGAGGCAAGAGACTCGCTTGAGCCCAGGAGTTGGAGGTTGCTGTGAGCTATGCCACGGCACTCTACCCAGGGGGACAGCTAGGGCTCTGTCTCAAAAAAAAAAAAAATGTAATATGAACTAAACAATGTGCTTAGTGCCTAGATGACTTATGTTCAGTGTAAGCTCCTTATCTCAATGGTCACAGACAGTTCATACACCAAAGCCACTCTAGATGAGTATCACTGGCCTAACAGATATTTCAAACTTAACAAGTATAAAGTCAAATAGTTGATTTTCCCCAAAAGATTTACTACCGCAAGATTTTTCCCTACCTTTGTCAACAGCAATTCTATCCTTCCAGATGTTTATCATTTGATGCAGAAACCTTAAAGACATTCTTTCTTGGAAGAGATGGAGTCTCCCTCTGGTGCTCAGGCTGGGGTACAGTGGCACAATCATAGCTCACTGTAGCCTTGAACTCCTAACCTCAGGATATCCTCCTGCCTCAGCCTTCTGAGTAGTTGGAAATAGAGGTGCGCATCACCATACCTGGCTAATTTTTTTTATTTTTATTTTTTTAGAGGTAGGGCCTCACGATGCTGCCTAGGTTGGTCTGGAACGTCTTTCCTCAAGCAATCCTCCCACTTCAGCCTCTCAAAGTTAAGGATACTGTTGACTCCTCTTTCTGTCATACCCTATCCCCAATTCATCAGCAAACCCTGTTAGTTCTATCTTTAAAACAAAATGAGAATTTGATCACCTCATACCACCTCCTCTTTAATTGCTACCTTGATCCAACAAAGCCACCATCACTATCTGGTTTCCAAGCTTTCCACCTTTGCCACTCTGCAGTCTGTTCCTAACCTAGTATCCAGTGATACCTTGAAAAAGCCAGATCATGTCATATCTCTGCTTAAAACACTCCAATGGCTCCTGATCCCATGTTATCCCCTAGTGCCCCACTACCTCCCTGTCCTCCTTTCCTATCATTTTCCCTACTGCATGTTCAAACTGAGAAGGTTGTGAAATGTTTCCAAACACAAAATTAAAATTAAGAAGAGGATTTAACTGACTATGGCAGATTCCATAAAGGCCATAAATACAGCCTATCTCTTCATTTCTAATCTCTCAATATCCAGCCCCTGATTTTCGAGCCTCCTACTTCACTGAAAAACTCAATGTTCCCTTGCCTCTCCTTTCCTTCACTTCAAAGTAATGGTGATCTCTGGGCTTCCTCCTAGGTTTTGTTACATTAATTATCTTCCTTCTCTCTTGTGTTTAAGTTTAATATCTCTCTTTATGCCTTATGGCTTTTCTTATGTGTCCTCAACCTTGTCCCCACATCCAGAAATTCTCCTATACACACAAATGACATTCTCCACCCCACGGCTCTACATTACTCATTCACCTCTAAACTCCCTAGAACAGAGGTTCTCAACCTGTGGGTCACAACCCCTTTGTAAGAATGAAAATACACCGCGGCATTAGGAAGGTTGAGAACCACTGCTCTAGAATCAGGCTTCCTTCCGTCTCCAGTATTTCACTGTCAATGCTTGTTTAAATGCCCCTAACATCTTAGTGCTAAATCCTCATTTCAATCTCCTCTGCATACTTGACCCCTGTTTCATTTTCTATGTCCTGTCCTCCTACATTTTTACCATTTTCTTTTCAGTCTCCATTGACCACACATCTTTCTCCTCCTAGATCTTGAATGTAAATATTTCTATTTTTCATGCATACCTCTTCTCTGTGTAGCCACACACCCTTTGGGTCTACTATTACATCAATATCAAACACTTTTTTTTTTTTTTTTTTTTTTTTTGCGACAGAGTCCTCTGCCACTTGGGTAGAGTGCTATGGCATAATCTTAGCTCACAGCAAGCTTAGACTCCTGTGACTCAAGTGATACTCCTGCCTCAGTTTTTCTATTTTTAGTATGGATGGGGTCTTGCTCTTGCTGAGGCTTGTCTAGACTTCAGAGCTTAGGCAATCCATCTGGTTTGGTTTCCCAAAGTGTTAGGATTACAGATGTGAGCCACCGTGCCCAGCTCATACCAAAAACCTATCTCAATAGTGCTGACCTTACTTCTGAATCACTCAGTTCCTTCTGAGATTTCTAATTTCATGCCAGACATGGCTGCCCCCCAAATTTCCTATCTCCACTGTCAGCTAATTTATTTCAGATGCATTTTAGAAAAGAATTAATGACCTTCCCTAACAGACCCCAAACAATCTTCTCCTGTACTTCCTCTTCCTACCATCCTTTTAATTATTTTCTATTCTAACCCTGTTTATACAAGTAGGTTCTTCCTTAGTTTTCCTTCATGGAACTCCACTTTCCCACATGGCTAGACACTATGAACTTAGCATATCTGTTGATTATTTTCCATTTCCATTGGTACCATCTTTATCATTATATCACTGGGAATTTATTACTGGAAATTTGTCTTAATCTCTCACCTCCTCAAATGATGTGTATTATACAGGAGTAACAGAGTCAAAGATATAGCCACAAGAGATGAGATCAACCCACTGTGGAAGTATGGGGAACCACTGAGTGGAAATAAGGTCAGGTTCAGAGAGATACCCCATTGGTTATCTGATTATAAAGGATTGCAAGTCACAAATGTAAGAATACAGGTTATTAAGAAAACTGAATAATGCCTTTCCAAAAAGGAGGGCCTTGTGCTTCCTAGCACAGCCACCAGGAAAGAAAATGACTCTTCAAAGTATCTTAAGAGTTCCCATAAATGAGCACAATTGTGTTTTTTAGTTTTCCAGGGCTATGACTGTGAAAATAAATACAGTATGTCAGGGACTCTTCACAGTTGAAAACCAGAGCTGCCCTTCCTGTTCTCCAACTTGTAAAAAAAGAAAATCCCTACCTTAGTCTTGTCACAGTGGGAGCACCTTACCAGGTAATTCTGATGCAGAACAGAATGGACTCACTTCCGACTGACTGAAAGGTTCTTGTCCTTTACCAAAACATTATCAAGACAGGAACATGGTTGTATTACATTACAATACCACCAACAGTGTAAAAGTGTTCCCTCCTCTCCATATCCACGCCAGCAACTGCAGCTTTGAGACTTTGTAATGTAAGCCATTTGCACAGGAGTTAGGCGATGTATCTCAGGGTGTTCTGATTTGCATTTCTTTGATGAATAGGGATGATAAGCATTTTTCATGTTTGTCAGCCATTTGTCTGTCTTCTTTAGAGAAGGTTCTATTCATATCTCTTGCCCAGTGGTATATGGGATTATTGGGCCTTTTTTGGTGATTAATTTGAGTTATCTATATATAGTAGTTATCAAGCTTTTGTCCAATTCATAACTTGCAAATATCTTCCCATTCTGAAGGTTATCTATTTGCTTTGGTTGTTGTTTCCTTCGCCATACAGAGCGTTTCAGCTTAACTAAGTCTCATTTTTTAATTTTTGTTGTTGCAATTGCCACGGAAGTCTTCTTCATAAAATCTTTCCCCAGGCCGATACCCTCAAGTGTTTATTCCACACTTTCTTTGAAGATTTTTTTTATTTTTTTATTTTTTTTATTTTTTTGAGACAGAGCCTCAAGCTATCCCCCTGGGTAGAGTGCCATGGCTTCACGCTCACAGCAACCTCCAATTCCTGGGCTCAAGCGAGTCTCCTGCCTCAGCCTCCCAAGTAGCTGGGACCACAGGCGCCCGCCACAACGCCGCTATTTTTTTTTTTGGTTGCAGCCGTCATTGTTGTTTGGCGGGTACGGGCTGGGGATTCGAACCCGTCACCTTAGGTGTACGTGGCTGGCGCCTTAGCCGGTTGAGCTATAGGTGCCGAGCCTCTTTGAAGATTTTTATTGTTTCATGCCTTAGATTTAAGTCTTTTATACATCTTGAATTAATTTTTGTAAGTAGTGAGAGGTGCGGGTCCAGTTTCAGTCTTGTA